CTATAATTCTTTGGTTCCATAGTAGACCTAATGTAAATGAGTTTCATATTAACTATTTTTGTCTAGACAAATATCATTATCACATTACATTGTAATACAATTGTATTATTAAACAAACACTATTGATCCCTGAAATCCTTGGTAATACCAATGTTCACTTTGTCTGGTTTTCTTGCAGTCTGTCCCATATAACAAACAGTCAGCAGGCATTCTTTTAGTTAATAGATTTTTCACTGAGATTTCTTTTTCATTTACATGATTTATCAACAAGTCCTTATTTTCTTCATTGAATAGCATATCATAATCTTGATTTCTTATTCTTACATCAATAAATGATAGCTCAGTAATGTACAATACAAAGTTCCATAGGGCGCAATTGAATTTAAGCTGCTTCTTCCTATTCTCATCACCACTGTCTTAGTCATTATCTAACCTTTAATTCCCCTTGTAACTAAGGTTTCTGGTTCAAACTATTTTGAAAAAAAGTAGCTTTGACAATAGTTTGGGCTCCTCAATATTTTTTATAAGAATGAACATAAAAAAATTATATAAATCAACCTGTTTTAATTTAAATAATTTAAAAATAATTTTGCCCAATTTCGGCTATTAATAAAAAATAGTTTGGCCTGTAAAAATTAATTTTTGCCCAGTGTTTTGGCAATTTCGACCAGAAACCTTAAACCAGACCTGGGAAAATTCTTCCCATCCTATACATTTTTTTAATTTGTTGTATAGGTGGTGTTTTTTCAGGTCCATTACATCAATAATTGCTGATAATAGTGGGTTATTGTCATCAAAGAAGATCGCTTTTTATATGGGGCATGGACAATAGAAAAGGGGCAAAACCGTGATTTTGAGAAAATTAAAAAGATCTACATGTCTATTGGTTTTTAAATTTTAAAAGGAGATTTTATTAAATGGACATAGTTTCTAATATAAAATTAATCTGCATGGTGTATTGAATTTAGAAATGCTATTAATTCAAATCCATGATGATTGTAGTTATCTTTGTTTTTATTGTCTATGCCTATTTACTATTTTTTAAAGAACTTTAACAAAAAATATCCCAAAATTTTATTAAGTAAAATGAGTATGGTTTCTAAGCTAAAATTAATCCTTATGGTGAATTACATGTAAAAGTGTTATTAGCTCAAAATCATGATTTTGGTAGTTTCCCCCTTTTCTATTGTCCATGCCCCATATAATTTCCAATTGGACCTGGACACCCACTTTACCAACAGGACACTTTACCAACACCCACTTTACTGACAAGACACTTTACCAACAAGACACTTTACCAACAGGACACTTTGCCGACAGGACACTTTACCAACAGGACACTTTACCAACAAGACACTTTGCTGACAGGACACTTTACCAACAAGTATTGTGTTAACAATTTGCCAAGGACTGTGTGAAGACCTGGATAACTGGCTAAAAATTTGGTTTTTTACAACAAGTTAAATCAACCATTAATTATCCTTACTTTGCATCAAAAACCAGTTCATAAAAATACAATATAGATACATGTGTAATATATATTTTTTTTTTGTCTGACGAAATTGATAATTATTATTATTTTTATATATACATGAAAAAAAAATTTTTTAAAAAAATAACAAAAAAAAATTTTAAAATGAAATATTATGGGCAATGCCCCAAAGAAACTTTATAGTTGATCTAATGTTATGGTCATTTAATACTGTTTGAATCTGTATTTCATGATTACAATCTTGTGGTTTCTGTGGGGGCCATGGTGTTCCTTGCAAGACCATTTCTACATCAAGTTCAACTTTGCTTAGATTGTCAGTAAAGTATCTTGTCAGTAAAGTGTCTTGTCAGTAAAGTATCTTGTTGGTAAAGTGTCTTGTTGGTAAAGTGTCTTGTTGGTAAAGTGTCCTGTCGGTAAAGTGGGTGTCAGTAAAGTGTCCCAGACCTATTTCCAATTGTGCTAAGAATTTCATTTGAATTTTTCCACTAAATTTTTAAATCAAAAATAAGTATATATATACAGTCCCTGGCGAAAGTAATGGGGTATAATGAAACATTATTTTTGCTAAGTTTTTATTAAGTAAATCGATCTTTTTATATTAAATAAAGTTGTTCACAATGAAA